GTGATCCAGGCCTTCTCGTCCAACATCAGTGTCTGACCTCACAAATGTGCTTCTGGAAGAATGGTCAAAAATTCCCATTAACACACTCCTAAACCTTGTGGACAGCCTTCCCAGAAGAGTTGAAGCTGTTATAGCTGCAAAGGGTGGGCCAACATCATATTAAACCCTATGGTTTAAGAATTGGTTGTTGCTCAAGTTCATTAGCATGCGAAGGCAGACGAGTGAATACTTTTAGCAATATAGTGTATCATCCTCCTCTGAGACAGAGTAAAGCAATCAGTCATGAACAACCTCAGTATGTTTTGAGATCCTATCCCACGTTGATCAAACTGCAATGTAATATAACCCCCCCCCCCGTTCTACATCTTTTGGGGAAGCTACACGTTTGCCCTTATTATGACCAGTGTTAGCATGAAGATTTTCCCAACAGACCACTGTTTAGTGTGACAGAAGCCACAAAATCTATATGAAAAATGTTGTTCACTTACCTTTAAATGTGTTAGACTTTCACTAAGCTTTTCCACACCTTGATCATTTACACTGCCTAAATGCTTAAGTGAACCCTAGCAATAGTTCACATTCTAAACTATCAGAACCCACAATTAATAGATTTAAAATACATTATGGTTCAGCTAAACTTGTATGTTATGATAAACACCTGCTGGATTCAGCTGTAGTTTAGCTTGGCAGTGTAACGGTTAATGTGGACACTCTCGAGCCCCTAGTCAATAATTAACATTTGAGGACATGTTTGGTGACTTATCTTTAAAATGGGAAGGCACCAAGCTACTTGATGCCATTATGCACAGAAAGCACGTTTTCAGGAACTCCTGAGGAGCTCACCAGTCAGACTGAAGGGTGTGCTCAGCCGGGCCTTTACTTCACCTAATTCCACAACTTTTTTTTTTTTTTTTTTTTCTGGTTTTACGGTGCTTGACGCACTGCATGAAACATGTCTATCACTGTACCTCCACCAAAATGCCTGAAGAAACCTCTAGAGGTTCCTCATCGTCACATGTTTGGACCAGGACCCTCCAACGTACCTCCTCGCATCCTGAAGGCCGGGGCCAGTCCCATCATTGGACACATGCACCCAGAGATGTTTGAGGTAAACACAAATTATGTAGCTGTTATGGTAGCCCCCCTCACCAGGAAGGTGAAGGAGACTTGAGGTTGGACACAAGTTTGCAGACCCAGGTGCTAGTACGAAAAAAAAAAAGGGCTTAATGGAACAAAAACACAAAGAAACATAACAAGGGCCATGTACATACAGTGAGGAACAGAAGTATTTGAACACCCTGCAATTTTGCAAGTTCTCCCACTTAGAAATCATGGAGGGGTCTGAAATTCACATTGTAGGTGCATTCCCACTCTGAGAGACATAATTAAAGCAGGGCAGAGATGGTGGAGGAGACCAGGACGACCTAGGGAGTAGACAGGGTAACGGCAGGAACTAGGAGCGGAGGAGGATAAGGACGGACAGGGGAACAGACAAGCTAACCAGGAGGATAGGCGAACGAAAACAGAACCCCACAGCACAGGACCTGTCAGCGTGGAAAACAAAGGACGTCTTGCGCAACGCATAAATAATGTGAATAAGGTCAAGCCAAAATGCACAGGAACTGTCAGCTAGCATCTTACACACATAAACTTACGCGGTAGAAACATAAAATTAGTCAAGTACTTGGGGTATGTAAGTAATGTACGAATGCTCCGGGGACGGCGAAGCGTCTGCCAGAGGTATAAATAAGGAGGAAACAAATCAGGGAATACAATGACGGGGAGAACATGGGTGGGGCCCGAACCCAAAACCTTCTCGCTGTGAGGCAACGCTGCTAACCACTGCCCCACCATGCCACCATGCTGCCTTAACAGTTTTAGTTAATCATTTATTTTGCATTTTTAATAAATATATAACATGCATTTTTACAAAGTTAACCAACAAAATATACAGTAAAGTAATTAAAGTTAGCTCCACTCTACCTGCTACAACATTAAATTGCTATACATCTTAATGCATCAGTTAAAACCTAATAATATAACACAGACTGTGCGACCCCAGGGATCAGCAAGCCCTGGTCCGACCTTGCCTATCCCCTGGCTTGCATTGCACCTGACCTCAGTTCCTATTCCTGCAGGTGACGGGCTCAGGTAGCGAGTGTAAACCAATTACCTGGGCATTACACTGCCGGTGTATTACAGCTGTTACTTCAGTCAAGGATGAGAGTTATTCAGTGGGTTTCCCTGTATGTTTTAATACCTGTGACAGAGTGAGAGAACAGGAGAGAACATGTCAGAAAAAGTGGAGAAATGCCTAATCATTGTCTTGACTGTAATTTAAAGAGTTACAGCAGCCCAATGTTAGGACTGCTGCTTTTTGACATAGCCTACACAGGGTGGTATTTAAGATAATATATATTTATATTAATTACATTTTCCACTCACAAATGCTCACCTTAACTTTGCAGATAATGAGTGACATCAAAAGTGGAATTCAGTACATGTTCCAGACTCAGAACAACATGACGTTAGCTGTGAGTGGCACTGGCCACACTGCTATGGAGTGTGCCATCTTCAACACAGTGGAGCCCGGGGACAGCGTGCTGACTGCAGTGAACGGCATATGGGGAGAGCGAGCAGCAGAAATGGCTGAGAGGATAGGTAAAACTGGTGGTATTGTAGCTATACTTTTCTTTCTCTCAGACCACAGGCTCTTACTGAAGGTGTAGATCTTTAAAGACAGATCACAAATGCATAGTTTTATACACTGGACTTTAGTTAAACTGGTAACTGGAATTTGCTGACAATAATACAAATTGATGTATCCAACAACTAATTGTCAGGTGATTCAAACATTTAGTATTATCATGTGTATCAATCCAACAGGTGCCAGAGTAAACACCATTGTGGCGCCTCCTGGAGGCTTCTTTACAAATGAACAAATTGAGCAGGTACTGTGTCTTGACGCTTCAGTAATTTCTGTCAAAGCCACAGTATGAGTGATTCTATTATCTCATCATAGGCGTTATCAAAATACAGGCCTGCCCTGTTCTTCCTTGCACATGGGGAATCTTCTACAGGAGTCTTGCATCCTTTAGATGAGATCGGACAACTGTGTCATAAGTAAGATGTGGTGCTCATGTGTCCGTCAGAATCACATTTGGAACCAAAGACAAGCAGATGATAGCTGTGCTCTGATTTGTGTCCTCAGGTATAGCTGCCTGTTTCTTGTCGATTCTGTGGCTTCAATAGGAGGAGCCCCTTTATACATGGACCAGCAAGGTTTAGTGTTACAACCTGACAAATGTTTCCAGTCTATCCGGTACAGCTGTTAAAAGCATTCGCTATGTCTGTACTGTGTTACATGATCTGTTTTGATGGCACCAAACAGATTTTTTGTGATTGTGTGTCCTGGCAGGGATTGACATCCTATATACAGGCTCTCAAAAGGTTCTGAATGCGCCTCCAGGTACAGCACCTATCTCCTTCAGTAACAGAGCATGGTGAGAAATGCATACAGATATTGTATAGTTATAAATACTCCATCTTGAATAACATGTGTATTTAAGAATACATTTGTCCACAGCCAGAAAATATTCAACCGAATGTCAAAACCTGTCTCATTCTTCTTGGATTTGAGTTGGCTTGCAAACTACTGGGGCTGTGATGGCAAGCCATCCAGGATGTAAGATCTAATCTGCAGATCTAATCACATCTCAAACTGTTATCTCATTTTTAGCCATATTTACACAATTCCTGTATATTGCTCTGTCATCTCTATTTCCTCTCCGTAGATATCACCACACAGGTCCAGTCACTGCTTTTTACTCTCTGCGGGAGAGCCTGGCAGTCCTCATTGAAGAGGTGGGACATGTGTTGGAATGGTGGTGTTTTCAGCCATGCTAGCACCATAGCTCTAGAGATGGAAATGGTAGCCCTATTGTTTGGTCTGCCCACTACTTTGACTGAAATAGGCCTTATCTCAAAAACTCTGGGATGACTTGCCATGTACGGATATTCAAGTTCCCCAGAGGATAAATCATGGGGACGTTGGTGATTGTCTGACTTTTCATTTTGTGCCACCTTCAGATCAAAGTTTCAGTTTGTCCAATACTCTGGTTTACGATCAGATACTGCAAATCAGCTTCAGCTCTACTTTGTGTTTAGTGCTAATAAGAAAATGTTAGCATACAAATGTCCAAAGCTAAGATCATGAACACAGTAACAATTGTACCCACTAAACATTGGCAAGTTGGCAATGTCTGTTCCTATGTTAGCATAATATTAGCATTTGACTCAAAGGATTACTGTGCCCAGCCTCACAGAACAGCTATGGCTGTTGACTCTGTGTGGTACTAAACTTCCATCCACCTTGAAAATTTAAATGCACAAAGTGGAATCGTTTATCCATACATTGTTGTTATTCTATAGGTTTGTTGCCTATCATTGTCTATTTTTGTTCAGGGTCTGGAAAATTCATGGGAAAGACATCAGAAAGTGGCAGAGTATTTCCATACTGGCCTGGAGAGCATGGGACTCAAACTTTTTGTCAAGGAAAAAGTGAGTTTCAATGCAACCAATCTTTAGTTATAATAACCTTTAGGGGAAAGTTATAAGAAAAATCATTAAATTATTAATGAAGGAAATCTAATTTAAATGGTTGTTACAGAAAGCAAGACTGCCTACTGTTACCACTATTGTTGCTCCTCATGGATATGACTGGAAAGAGATCACAGCCTACATCATGAAAATACATAATCTGGAGATTTCTGGGGGGCTTGGACCATCAGTTGGCTTGGTAGGGGGTTATGCACTTATATACTTTATTTACTTGTGTCTGCCCATCAAGAAGTCCTGAACAGTCTAAATCTGAGATGTTGGTCTTTTCAGGTGCTGCGTGTGGGGCTGATGGGATGTAACAGCAGCAAGACCAATGCTGACATGGTGCTGACAGCACTGAAAGATGCTCTGATGCACTGTCACAAGAGCAAGGTGTAACACATTGTTGTTGGATGCTGAAAGGATCATCCTGAATCAGCGCTACTGTCATAAGGGAGAGATTGTAATAAATATGTGATTATTCTCATTATTGGTCTTGTGCAACTCAATCAGAACTTTTAAATCAGTAGCTCATGTTCAGCTTTTTTCATGTCAAATTGTTCCTGTTGGGTTTTTTTCTGTTCATATTTCAAACTAAATGAGCCTTTGTGTAAAACTTGAACAACAAAAAAATATTTCATTCAACAACTAGCTACACGTGGGAGTCTTAGCTAAAGTAATGTGAGAGCATTAGTCATTGAATTCCATTTGAATGTTTTCAAAAATGCAATTATAAAATGTAATTGTGTGTCTATGTGTACTCTTTGGTACAAAAACCATTCATAAATCAAAAATGACAAATAGGCTACATTTTTCTGTTGATGTGGAAAACCTCTATGTAACTCCCAAAGTGAGTAGCAACATGTTCATGCAGATTCTCATAGTAAACTGAAAAAACATTGAAAAAAAATCAACTGGACTTGGTTTTAGGTCAAAGACATTCCACCTCTCATCCAAGAGGCTTCATCAGTTCTGACTGACTGGTGTTGAGCTGGAGATATTTATCCTCCTCTGTGGTGTTTCAGTCCTTTGAAGGCCAACAATGTCCCCTAATGACTGAGTCTTTATAGCCCGGTACCGGTGAGAGTCGTTACCTGTCTTTGAACCCTCACCTGTGGACCAAAGCTTATTGTCCTAGTGGGCATGTTTGGGCAGAGATCTCAAAACACAGTGGTAGATGGATGACAAGTTGTGTCTTTGTCTTAGTCCCCTGTTTAGTGAGGGGTGTTCTATTGGACAAAAATAGCTTCCTTTTGGGATGCTCCTTTTATACCCAATCATGATGCTCACCTGTTTCCAATAAACTTGGTCACCTGTGGAATGTTCCAAACAGGTGTTTTTTTTTAAGCATTCCTTAACTTTCCCAGTCTTTTGTTGCCCCTGTCCCAGCTCTTTTGAAATGTGTTGCAGGAATCAAATTCAAAATGAGTGAATATTTGCAAAAGACAAAAAAGTTTATCAGTTTGAACATTAAACATCTTATCTTTGTGGTGTATTCAATTAAATATGGGTCAAAAAGGATTTGCAAGTCATTGTATTCTGTTTTTATTTACATTTTACACACTGTCCCAACTTCATTGGAATTGGGGTTTGTACAAAGGTAAAATGTTTGGTTTTGATGTGACCTTCTTTGATTTAATGCACCTGAAAGTTGGTTTGCTCTCTGCCATTAAATTAGTCAATTCATAATTAGTTTTAAATAATTGTTATTGAAACAATGAGCAAACAGAACAAACCAGAACAAAGGCAGGGAGCACAAGGGCAGTATTAAATAATGTATAACAAAGTAAAACAGTGAGGGGGAAAAAGGTGAAGGAGCATGATGAAAAAAAATTAGAATTCAATAGCATACGTTTCATATAAGTGTATTTTACCAGCATTTTTTGAGAATACTTCAAGTATGTTTTGATGTCGTTTATGAAGGCAGCCATGAGTTTTAAATTACATTCACGGTTATGAATACAATATTTTGCAAATATAAAAGTTTATGAAGCATTTCTTGTCATCATCCTTCTTGTGCTCAAAAGTCACGAGAAGAATGTTTTTAAAGGAGAAAGAAAACAGATTTTTACCAGAAGACCCTCTCATCACAAACAAAGCTATTTTGGAAGCTATTCAGGCCTTAGGATCAAGGGTGGATAACCAACTGGGGGAGCTTAGTGACCAGTTGAAGAGTAACAGCACTCTGATAGCTAGTCTGACCAAAATAACCCAGCTCAATTCAGAAGAGCTGACAAAATGTAAAGAAAAGATGGAAAACTTGGAGAAGGAAGTGGGTCAGCTTTGAAAAGAGAATGCCGA